GATTGTTCATTATAACTTTCCAAGAAAAAGTCATGGCAACATAAGCAACAAGTTCATATTGGACTTAAGGCATAATCAAGCTAAAGAAATGAACTCCAGGGTCCAGGAACAACAGTACTTAATCAGAACACATACAAATAGAAAAGAGTGTTTAGATAGAGGAGTAGCTGGGTTAATAAAAACTATACAAGGCATTCCTAATTTCTCAGAGGTTAGGCACACAGTCAACACCACAGAGGTTTCATTATTTGAACTGTCCAGAGAGGTAAATTTGCCAGTTATTTAAATACTATCTTCGTAATTGCTGCCTTTTGAAAAGATTGGGTATAGTTTGTCACTTTGACAGGCAGTCCCTGGGGCACTTTACCCAAATTTTCCACTTTATTGAGAAGAACAATAAGTTATTTACAGAGTAGTATTGTGATTTACATGGTTTACTGCTCATAAAGTCACAATATGACCTTGCACAGACAAACACTTTCTCAACCAGAGAAACACCTTCCAAATTATCCAAACTTCACTAGGAAAATTATTTCAATCATAGACACTAACCAAAGAAGTATGGATTCCGAAACCTAGTGATGGAAGTAATGATCCACATGCTCAACTCGTCCTGCAATTCTTTTCTCGAACCATCTTCCAAAAACCTCAAGCATAACTTCAGCAAGAATGCCTCTGCGGTCACACAACCAGCCAATGCGCTCAACTCACACCCTTCAGCACTTACCCTTTCAACAACCTCACCAGTCAAAAGTGGAAGAAAATCTCTCACACATCCTTTATTATCCCACATCCAAACATCCACTAGCTCCCTCACTGGCCTAACCAATCCCTCTGGAACATCACAACTACTCTCCTCTATACCCTCACAGCATACATTAACGTACCCAAGAACTGAATCAACTAAACCCTTTACTTCTCTCCCAAATTTCTTCTCTTTCTTAGCTTTCAAACCCATTGCCATCCTAACCACATTATATATAACGGGTGCAATTAAGGAAATGCTTTTAAAAGGATTACATGAAGCAGAACAAGAAACTGTAAGTTGAAACAAATCTTTTATGGCTGCAACTCTTTTAAAAGGGTCAATCTCTGGTGAGCTGAAGCCACAAAAGCGTAGAGCTGAGTAAAAACAGATGGTTTCAAAAGGTGGGTCGGCTCTACATTGTAATAATTCGTCAAAATTTGAACTCAAAGATGAATACTTTTCAGAGTTTGGAGAGTCTACTACCTCTTGGATTAGATTACTTAGTGCAACTTCATCGTTTTGGCCAAGGAGATTACTGCAAACTTGAGGCTTTATGGATTCCATATGAACTGAAACCATAATTCAAACCCTTCGAATGAAAAGTTAAAACGTTAATTAGTAAGAAGACCCAGAGATATAAGGGAATTCAGGTTCGACAAAGGGTCAAAAATGCCCTTAACATATTAAGGATGACTCAAATTTGCCCTCCTTCCACCTATTAGACCATAATTGCCCTTAAAATTAATTTTTAGGTTAAAAATGCCCCTCCTTTTGACAGAAGTATGAAATGGCATATGTGAAACTTACAATTAAACAAGTGGCACTACTTTAATGGTCCATATGAATAGTAGATCCAATCCTTGAATAACCCGACCCATTTGAATTAACCCAAAACCAAACCCTTTTTATCTTGAGCCTACTTTCCTTTGTCCCCTCGTATGATTTGTCTTCTCCATATTTTTTTTTCTTTTTTCAAATCCCACAACCACCATTGACGCTATAGTAAAGTTTCTTACACACAACAAGTAAGCAACTCCCTAAAGTACAAAAGCAAGCGCGCTAAATGCTGTCATGCCGAGAAGCGACCACAACAGCAAACACCAAATCAACCTACACCACTACCTGAGATGCCATGTCCCTGACGTGAAAGATTTTAGCTAAAAAATTTATAGAGAGTAATGATGTAGGTGAAACCCAGTGGACCAAATTGAGATGAAATACAACATTGCGGATTTGGGTTTTGGGTCAATTCGAATGGGTCGGGTTATTTAAGGGTTGGGTCTACTATCTATATGGACCAATAATTAATGCCATCTACTTACTTAAAAGTTCCACAAATATATCTCATACTTTTGTTAAAGGGAGAGACATCTTTAACCCAAATTTGAGATATTTTTTACCCTTGTTCGTTTAGGGTTTTAGGAGAGTGGGTAAAGTTCCTATGCATCGGCTGTATAGTTCCTTAGTGTGGGCAAGCAGAAGGAAGCGCCTGGCATGTGTATGCTCCCATCCTATTGGCTGAAATAGTGGGGTCCTTGACACGCAGGATAACAATAGCCAATAAGAAACAGCTAGACACGTAAGATGAAATTAAAAAATAAATAAAGGTAGAAATCTCCTCCTCAAAATATAAACAGAACTCTTCTACAGTGATACCAAGACAGAACGAAAGTTTGTTTACAGAATTAATGGCGAAGGTGGCATTGTTATTATTGTTATCATTGATGGTGATAACAACATGGTTGCCTATTACTCACTGCGCAAAGAAACTAGTAGGGGTGGCAAGAAAAGAGGACATTCCCTATATAAAATGTCAGNCATATTTCTGAAAGGTTTTTCACTTGGTATTTACTTATGTTCAGCTGGTTGAACAAGACTCTGAGGGACAATGTAATTCAGAATGTAAAACAATAGAGCGTGCTTGTCAAGATGTAAGTTTTCCTACTTATTATGTGCATTTGGTTTTAGTAATGATGCATACTAGCACAGAGTTCATGAATGCTTAAAGGGTTCATAATGACATTGATAGATGCTTACGTTTGAATCTCCAGCTACAAAAGTGTTTTTAACTTTTCCCAAATAAAAAGCTCATGTGCTTACCAATTTACTCTCCTTGTGCAATTATGATTTGATCACGTTAATAATGATATCCATACTCATTGGCTTCCTAAGTCAAACGAGCAAGAGCACATAGTATGTTGCTCTTGAAAATCCTTTGTTGCTTCAGTGCCACTGGAAAAAGACTGTGCATTGATTTTGTTGATTCAAACCTTAAACCTTCCTTTCTATCCTTTCCGCTTCTGCTAGTAGTGTTAGATTGGGGAAGTCGATTCATCTGCAAACGTTGTGCAAGGTATAACTTGTTTAGTGAGCAGATTCTATATGGTGCTGTCTTAAGTAGGACAAGCAGACAATTTTCTTGCAGCAGTTATCTCTCTCTTCATATTTTTGCAGGTCATGGACTATTCTGATACGGATGTGGCAGAATATCTGTACAAACACAATCCAGATCTTGATTCTTTGAAAAGTTTCCTTTGCAAGGATTTGACTAAAGCTTGTAGTAAGGCACCACCTTCAGTTCCTAAGGTAATGTCACTGATGATTCACCTGTAAATTCATCCAATATCCAAATTTCTGTGCATTCTTCTCCTTCTTGCTGCCTTCTGTGGCCCACTATTAGCTTGTTTTGTAAAACATATAGCAAGTAGTTCTTGTTCTTTAGCTTTATCAGAAAAAATTAGTCCCTGTTCTTTAGACATGAGAGATGAGCCACATCCCAAAATGTTTTCATCTTTTGTTGTAATGCTAAACTGTGTCTTTTATCAGACATGTAGTTGGTTTGTGCCAGTAATTCAGCTGTAGGAAGAGTGAGCTCTGCTTGAGCACGTACTGTTTCGAAGTATTTGGTTATTGAAAAACACAGAGATATCTGTGAATTATTGGTGACAAATTATACATGTATTGTTTCAGTTCCATTTTGGGAAGAAATGAAATTGGTTGCTAGCTAAGACTGAGAGACTCAACTCAAAATGATAGAAAATGACCACTTGTAATAATCTGGACAATATGCCAAGGTGCTGATTTTGAGCCAACGGTCTATTGGAAACCGCCTCTCTATCTTCAAGGTAGGGGTAAGGATTGCGTATACACTGCCCTCCCCGAACGCCACTTGTGGGTCTATATTGGGATTGTTGTTGTATGGCAAGATACTGATTTAAAGATGCATCGAATAATGCATATATGCATTTGTATGCTGGAACCAAAATGTTTATGGACTAAAACCTTTGGAAGTGTTGGGCCAGAAGCATACATTATTATGAAACGTTTTGTTAAATACAATAGATCCTTCCTTTGGAAACAGAAGCCATCTGAAATCTGCTTTTGTGCTTTGCAACCTTGAATGACAATATTCTACCCATGAAAAGTTCGTCACACCAATCCATTGTTATTTGATTGAAGGCTTCTTATTCTTCTAAGCATAGTATAGCATGTTCTTGATTGCCTTGGTGCTACATGCTGATTTAGCTGTTAAATAAGCAATACAATTAGCTTACACATTCATGGGTTGGTATTCTTTCTTCTTTTACTTCAGAATAGAGCCCCAGGAGAACCTTTTGTTTCTAAGTCCTCAAAAGAGGCTGAAATGGAAAAGCTAATGAGATCCATGCAGGTAATTTTTCTAGCTTATCACTAGTGTCAACTGATTGATTTCTCTCTATATTATGCCTGTGATTGAAAATTCGGAATTTACAACATTTTTTGCTTCAGGGTATGCCTGGAGCCCCTGGCATGCAAATGTATTCCAGGGAAGATTTGATGAACCAAAATTTTGGTGATGAAGATGCTGATGACGATGATGATGATGATGAAGGCGGCTTTCCCTCAAAGCTGGTATAGACTAGTTGCCTCTTTTGATAGACTGCTTTTAAATCAGTCAAAAGTGTTCAATTGATATGGAAATTTCTGCAGGGGAAGGTTCTTAAAGGAAAAGAAAGTAAGAAGAGTGATTGGAAGCAATGGATCACTAAAGGGATTCAGGATACAAGTGAGGCTCTGAAGACTCACGCTAACAGAGTGTCCCACAGGATGAGAAATTGGTGGGGAGCAAAGAAAGCACAATGGAAGAAGAATTCCAAAACCAGCAAGGGGGAGCTATAATGATGTGCTATGCTCTGCAACATGGCGGAAGGTTTTGTCCTCTCTTTTTTCTCCCCTTCCAATGTAGTCTGATATTGACTAGAAAAGTAACAAAAAGCTACGCACAAAAGAGACTGGAAATTTGTAATTCTCTGTCTTATGATCTGCCCACGAGATTTTGTTTCTCTGCCAACATTATTATCATGTTGGTACGTTTGTTTTAGGTACAATATTTCTTAGAGTCTTGTAGTCTTGTTAGAGATGTAGAAAATGTAAAGAACTTCTAATACTTTTTTATTTTTATCGCTAATTTTATTTTACGTAATATTGGACTAAAATGAATGAGCGTCAATATGGATGCACATACGATGTCTTCAATTTGCTTGGGAATGAGGGGCATTGTTGTTGTTGCCAACATTTTCAGTGCAAGTACAGTCTTCTTTATTTGTATGAAATATATCAATTTTATCCACTCAGTTTGAATGCATTCACTGCCTATCGAAGACCCAATTATGTAATCCTAGCAGGAGACAAATCTAAAGAGGGGGAAATAAGGTTGTCTACGGGGAAGTAAAGGAGGGTATTCGTTCTACTTGTCCGATTGTGTGCTTATTTGGAGCTTACAGTTCCTTGTACGACACAATTTGTCACTTAGCGGTCAATAAGTCATAAAACATCCACCCTAGTATTAGCACAGTTCAATTCCTATTTCAAAGAGTTCATTGTCAAAATGCAGAAGAGCAATGCAGGAAAAGATATATCCAAATCTCAGATCCTATCCTCTCAAAACTTGGAGAGAGAAAGCCGCCCTTCATATGCAGCTGTTCTTTTCCCTAATTATCTCTGCCCCCATCTCCCCCGTTTCACTTCCCTTTTCATTCAATACATTACCAAGTTATAGGTATATAACTAGTAAAAGCATCATCGTTTCTTAAGCACCTTTTTCGTAATATTGTCCTTTCTTGCCTCATATAAAATGCAGCCAAAAAGATGTAGTTGCATATCAGAACAAATAGAAAGGAAAATGACCCAGTTTGTGGGAGAAACAATCAGCAGAAACAATAGACATAAATTCGCATTTGCCTCCTGGAAAGGGTCAGCTGGATATTAAATGATATTAGCTCTGAATATAGATATCCGGTGAAGAAAGACTCGTTCTGCTTTACTGCAAAGAGGGACAATCAGGAAAACATAGCAGAATCATATGCTCTTCAACACTATGGCAGCTTTACTCCAAAGAGGGACAATCAGAAAACATAGCAGAATCATATGCTCTTCAACACCATGCATTATCGCATCCGATACTGCTGAGTCGTTGAAACAAAACAACGCCGACCATTTACAGAGTACTTGAGCATTATATCAACATCTCGAGGATTTTTCTTGTTGGGGGCCACAGTCATGCTCCCAACTACAGCTTCCCCTTGGCAAAGTGTAAGCCCCTCTTCCAGGTAGAGTACCGTTTGCTTCCAGTGTGTACCACGAGACCTTGGTCCTGCATATCATTTGCTCTCATGGTCAGAATTAAGAAGATCTTATACTATAATGCCCTCTTTTCCTCT